TCAGCACTAGAGTTCATATTTTATTGTGTTCACTGTTATCACTTTAAGTCAAATTATTTGTCCAAATAAAGTAGAGACCTCTGAATAAATATACATTTCATTAAGACAAAAAGATAGTTTGTTTAATGTCTTAAATTAGAAAAAATACTGTAAAGTACTTATGATTTTTAGGCTTTTCTTTTAATTCACATTTGATACTTTTTTGGACCCCTAGACAGCAGTGGGCCCTTAGAATCGTGCTGACCTTTACCCCCTTACTAGCACGCACGCACGCACACACACACACACACACACACACACACACACACACACACACACACACACACACACACACACACACACACACACACACCTGTATCCATGCTGTCCAGATCCAGATGGTGAAGTGAACACGATGAATCAGTCCCAGCTGATGGATGATCCTGAAGTGGTAGCAGGTTTTCTTTAGCCGTGTTTAGCTAACAGCTGCAATAGAAACAAAGCAGGAGAGCTGATTAAGATGCTGCTTCAGAACAACTCATGAGATTAAAGACCCAACGCTTTGGTTCTGATCAGCTGAGGACAGATCCAGTCTGGAAAAGAGGACCTTTGGTCACCAGAGTTCACGGAGTAGAGCTAACCGCTTTTTCCTCCAGAGTCACATTCAGATTCGGGGCTTTTCCGTCGGAGAGTGTGAGCAGGATGGATCAGAGAGCGAGCAGCGATCCTGCATCATGACCAACTCAGATGAGCGAGTCTGATAGAGGGAACCTCTTCAGTCTGATGAAAGCAGCTAAACGAGAGCGTTTCTCAGAGAGGCCAAAGGAACAGCAGCAGACCCAGAGGACAGGAAGTCTAGAGAAAAGCTTTTCTGACCCATCACCTGCTTTTGGAGCTCCGATTGTCACGAAGACCGCAGAATATCTTCTCTGCTTCTGGAAAGAACTCACACCAAGTTGTTGAGAAGAAAGTTTCCACAGCCTGGTGAGAAGATTTCAGTTAGTCGCTTTAGCTGATCAACTCTCCCAGAGACTGAAGTGAAGACAGTTTTCCTGCAGAGCCTCAAATATTCACCTCACACACCAGAACAACAACAAGCTAACTATGCTATCAGCTTTCGGTGTTCTTATTCTTCTGTACAACCAACGTAAAGATGCACTACCGCCACCTAGTGGACACGAGTCTGCATGGACAGCAACAGCCTGAGTGTTCAGTGTGGCTTTAGACCACACATAACTAGTGATAACTCCCACAGGCAGTAACTTAACGTAAACACCAGTTATTTTCCTTCTCTTATGATATTGTTTTTATTAATGCAGTTTATTAAAAACTGTGACAGGAAGAAATAAATATTTTTCATTTATCATGTTCCATCATCTAAAATTGACCAAATCTATGTTTCTTTTGACTTTATGACCTGTAACCACATTGATAATTTTCCTCAGGGGCAGAAAAAATGTTTCTGTAAAGATTTTGGGAGAAACTTTTTTATTGTTTTGTTTTGTTTTTCATTGAAGTAGCTCTGAGAAACAAACAGAACAAGTAAGGTGCTAATTTGATGATTATTTATTATTATAAGCATTTCATGTAATGCTTGATGAGGCCACCAGAGGCAGATGGTGAACGTAATCAGTAACATAGAAGGGTTTCATTAAAACCCATTCAACAACAGCTTCTGGATCTGTGGATCAGCTGATACATCAGAAGCAGATGAGACATTCATCAACACACAGACTCTTCAGATGCAGCAGTGGACATGGAACAGCAGTAAATCCATCACTCCTGAGTCTGCAGTCATGAAGAGTTCCTGACTGTCAGATCCTGGATCAGTGCTTCTGACACTAATATGACATCAGTCTGACAGGAAACACAGCGTGTTGTTCAGTCTGGACCATCACTCACTTCACTCATTCATCACTTATCTTTATGCATCTCTCTGCAGCTTGTTGTCATAGTAACCATCCAGACAGGCTGAAACAGCAGAGAGTGTGACTGGACCATGTTTCTATGAGCTGGAGAGGAGAGCTTCATCCAACAGTGATTGACAGAACCAGAAAAAGTGGAGATGACTCTCAGTGCTGCAGTGAGAACTGATCTGAGAACAGCTCTGGAGTCAAGAGGAGGAGGAGACAGGAGACAAGAGGAGGAAGGAGACAGGAGACAAACAAAAAACATGCAGATATTTCTTCTTTGCAAACTTTTCAATATCTGTATAAGCTTTTAAATAATCTTGCATAACTTTCTGTTGTACTTTGACAGTGGGATCTCTTTTACAGCAGACTCACTCGCCCCCACTGTCCCAAAGGCTGACAACATTTTTTTTATTACAGACAGAAGAGAAGACAGGAGCACTGTGAGGAAGAGAGACACAGAAAACGAGGAGAAAAGAGAGAGGACAGAGAAAGAAAGATATATGAGTGAGCCACAACAGGAAAATCATCAGGTATGAGAGTTTGATTAGGTTACAAATCTATTTTGACCTGGAGGTAAATGCTTTTGTATCAACATAAGTAAGTGATTTTTAATATTGACAATTTTATGAAATGTCTAAAAAGTGTTACTGGGTGACAGTAATGTTGGGGGAGGCCGGGTGGGGTGGGGGTGGGGGGCCATAGGCACATTGTGCCCAGGGGGCCCCTGCAATGATAATCCGGCCCTGGATAGAGGATCAGAGGATCTTCCTGCTCTGCTGCTGCTCTTTCCTTCTACCGTATCTGCTGCCTCCTCAACCTCCTCCTGGATTCCTGCTCAGCAATTTCATTCGTTTACATTTTAAATTCAATTTAAGTATATTTTTATACGAAGCACCAAATAACAAGAATCGTCTCAAGGCACTTCACACAGTAAACATTCCAATACAGTTCTGTTCATTAAGCCAATGAGTAAAAATTTTCCTATATAAGGAACCCAGCAAATTGCATTGAGTCACTAACTAGTGTCAATGTCTTTACAGCAATCCGTACACTAAGGAAGCATGTAGCAACAGTGGAGAGGAAAACTCCCTTTTAACAGGAAGAAACCTCCAGAGGATCCTGGCTCAGTATAAGCAGCCATCCACCATGACTCACTGGGGATGGAGAAGACAGAACACACACACACACACACACACACACACACACACACACACACACACACACACACACACACACACACACACACACACACACACAGGTCCATAAATATTGGGACATTGACACATTGTTAACATTTTTGGCTCTATACACCACCACAATGGATATCAAATGAAACGAACAAGATGTGCTTTAACTGCAGACTGTCAGCTTTTATTTGAGGGTATTTACATCCAAATCAGGTGAGTGGTGTAGGAATTGCAACAGTTTGCATACGTGCCTCCCACTTGTTAAGGGACCAAAAGTAATGGGACAGAATAAAAACCATAAATCAAACTTATACATTTCAATATTTGGTTGCAAATCCTTTGCAGTCAATTACAGCCTGAAGTGTGGAACACATAGACATCACCAGACGTTGGGTTTCATCCCTGGTGATGCTCTGCCAGGCCTCTACTGCAACAGTCTTCAGTTCCTGCTTGTTCCTGGAGCATTTTCCCTTCAGTTTTGTCTTCAGCAAGTGAATTGCATGCTCAATCAGATTCAGGTCAGGTGATTGACTTGGCCATTGCAAAACAGTCCACTTCTTTCCCTTCAAAAACTCTTTGGTTGCTTTTGCAGTATGCTTTGGGTCATTGTCCATCTGCACTGTGAAGCGCCGTCCAATGAGTTCTGAGGCATTTGGCTGAAAATGAGCAGATCATTGCCCGAAACACTTCAGAACTCATCGTGCTGCTTTTGTCAGCAGTCACATCATCATCAATTAATACAAGAGAACCTGTTCCACTGGCAGCCATACATGCTCACGCCATGACACTTCCAGCACCATGCTTCACTGATGAGGTGGTATGCTTAGGATCATGAGCAGTTCCTTTCCGTCTCCAGACTCTTCTCTTCCCATCACTCTGGTACAAGTTGATCTTGGCCTCATCTGTCCGTAGGATGTTGTTCCAGAACTGTGAAGGCTTTTTTAGATATTTGGCAAACTCTAATCTGGCCTTCCTGTTTTTTGGGGCTCACCAATGGTTTACATCTTGTGGTGAACCCTCTGTATTCACACCGGTGGAGTCTTCTCTTGATTGTTGACTTTGACACAGACACACCTAACTCCTGGAGAGTGTTCTTGATCTGGCCAACTGTTGTGAAGGGTGTTTTCTTCACCAGGGAAAGGATTCTTCGGTCATCCACCACAGTTGTTTTCCGTGGTCTTCTGGGTCTTTTGGTTTTGCTGAGCTCACCGGTGCATTCCTTCCTTTTGAGAATGTTCCAAACTGTCGTTTTGGCCACGCCTAATGTTTTTGCTATCTCTCGGATAGGTTTCTTTTGTTTTTTCAGCCTAATGATGGCTTGCTTCACTGATAGTGACAGCTCTTTGATCTCATCTTGACAGTTGACAGCAACAGATTCCAAATAATTTGAAATGAACTCTGGACCTTTTATCTGCTCATTGTAATTGGGATAATGAGGGACTAACACACACCTGGCCATGGAACAGCTGAGAAGCCAATTGTCCCACTGCTTTTGGTCCCTTAACAAGTGGGAGGCTCATATGTAAACTGTTGCAATTCCTACACCGCTAACCTGATTTGGATGTATATAAATAAAAGCTGACAGTCTGCAGTTAAAGCACATCTTGTTCGTTTTCATTTGAGATCCATTGTGGTGGTGTATAGGGCCAAAAATGTTAGCATTGTGTCGATGTCCCAATATTTATGGACCTGACTTTATGTGTGTCTATATATATATATATATATATATATATATATATATATATATATATTAATATTCCTTTCCTATATTTTCTTTCTTTCTTCCTTTCCTTTCCTTTATATTATTCCTTTTAATATTATAAAATAAAATATAAATATAATATTTCTTCATTTAACCATTTTTAATAAACTGCATTATTAACAACAATATTATAAGGGAGGGAAAATAACGGTGTTTACTTTTAGTTGTCAGTCACACTGAACACACTGGTTGTTGCTGTTCATACAGACTTGTGTCCACTAGGTGGCGGTAGTGCATCTTTACGTTGGTTGTACAGAAGAATAAAAACACCGGAAGCTGATAGCATAGTTAGCTTGTTGTTTTGGTGTGTGAGGTGAATTTTTGAGGCTCTGCAGTAAAACTGTCTTCACTTCAGTCTCTGGGAGAGTTGATCAGCTAAAGCGACTAACTGCTGCTGCAGAAATCTTCTCACCAGGCTGTGGAAACTTTCTTCTCCTCCTCAACAACTTGGTGCGAGTTCTTTCCAGAACCAGAGAAGATATTCTGCGGTCTTCGTGACAATCGGAGCTCCAAAAGCAGGTGATGGGTCAGAAAAGCTTTTCTCTAGACTTCCTGCCCTCTGGGTCTGCTGCTGTTCCTTTGGCCTCTCTGAGAAACGCGCTCGTTTAGCTGCTTTCATCAGATTGAAGAGGTTCCCTCTATCAGACTCGCTCATCTGAGTTGGTCATGATGCAGGATCGCTGCTCGCTCTCTGATCCATCCTGCTCACACTCTCCTCTTTTCCAGACTGGATCTGTCCTCAGCTGATCAGAGCCAAAGCGTTGGATCTTTAATCTCATGAGTTGTTCTGAAGCAGCATCTTAATCAGCTCTCCTGCTTTGTTTCTATTGCAGCTGTTAGCTAAACACGGCTAAAGAAAACCTGCTACCACTTCAGGATCATCCATCAGCTGGGACTGATTCATCGTGTTTACTTCACCATCTGGATCTGGACAGCATGGATACAGGTGTGTGTGTGTGCGTGTGTGTGTGTGTGTGTGTGTGTGTGTGTGTTTGTGTGTGTGTGTGTGTGTGTGTGTGTTTGTGTGTGTGTGTGTGCGCGCGCTTATGGTTTGCAAGATCTATTTGTCAGGTTACACACCAGCATTATGAAACCAATAGGTTTATGAGACCATTTTTGATGGTCTCGTAATTTGTGACTTTTAAAGTGTTGTAATCTTTGAAAAATATAAAAAGTAAACGTTGTTAATATATTCTTCTTACAAACTTTGTAACAGCCATTATCATTTTATTTAGTTATTTTAGCAACTTAACCTTTCTGTTGTGTTTTATAGCCATTTTAAAAATTGGTTTTGTAAACCATATCTTGTGTGTTGTGTACAATATCAGAGCCCCCTGCTGGTAGAAAACTGCATAGCAGGGCTGATACCACCGACACAACTTACCCCGGCTTTCCACCGGAGTCGTCAGCAGCACGTTACTGCAGCAGCACGTCATAGCTGCTGATAGGAACCGCTGTGGTCAACAGAACCTTTTCCACCGGAGCCGTCAGCAGCGCGAGCCGGCCGCGTCTCAGGAGCAGCATGTCGCGGCCTTTACGCGCCGGTTCTATTTTCTACGCGCGACGCCTCTGAAACGGGTCAAGTTCGATATTTTTGGGGAAGGAAAGACAGGAAATCAGACGCGGAAATGGAGAGGAGCTCCTGAGATTTTCAGAATAAAGAACGTACTGCCTTCCGGTTGCTTTACTTTAAAAAAAGGTTACTAACTGTGCGGCCCCGTGAGAAGTTATCACCTAGCTAGCGGTCTCCTTTGTTTTTCAGGTCCGTATTGGCGATTATAAAACGGACAGAACATAAAACACAAACATTTTGGAGCCATGTTGTAGTTTTCTCCTGCTTGTTGTTGTGTTTACTGACAAAGTCACTCGTGTGACTTCGTGCTCGGTCGGTGACAGCTGCTCCCCTGCTGCGATCGCGTCTCGTGGAAAGGGCCAAGCAGCAGTTTACGCGAGCAAGACGTGCTGCTGCAGTAACGTGCTGCTGACGGCTCCTGTGGAAACCCGGGGTTAGCACCTCAGCAGCAGGACTTCTGGCCTAATACTGACTTCTCCCTAAAAAATATAAATTGCCATAATTTCATCATCGAAGGACACAGAGTCACGAACATTTTTGTGGTTGTCATCCACTTCTAAACAACAATCAATATTCAAATGATGACGTATTTAAGGCTCCACCCCCTCACAACAGAAAAAGTCATGTTTACTCTAAAAGCTCCCAATTGTACCCTTTTTATCTAACCAATATGAATCACTGCCAAATAACAGTTGACATGTTGGGCTCACTTAGCATCCAGTACTGGCAGGTGTTGAAAGAGGGCGGGGCTGTGGCGGTATGGCAAATTCAGGCGTAACGCCGTAGCAATACGTTTGCCTCTCATTTCCTCATTCCTCATCTTATCCGCAGGAAATTTTCCATGAGTGTGGCTAATCTGACCTCAAACAGATATGTATGCAAACATCCGGTGGGCGTGGCCTATCGTTTTTAAATAGCGCCCCCTAGGACCATTAAAACAGTAAGCCCCATGCCATGCTTCTACTGAGGATTATGAAAGTTGGTACACTTAAGTAGTGTCTCAAAACCTACAAAAAAAAGTCTATGGAGCGACTTTCCAAATCCAACAGGAAGTCAGCCATTTTAGTCAGATGACTCCATTTCTTCTTTACTTTTTTACACATTAGAGCTAACTTGTCCTAGGGTTTTTGACCTACAGACTTCAAAATGACATATTTCACTCTTAAGCCACTGAAGATCAAAAGTTGTGAAAAACGTTCTCAAAAGTTGTGTAGGCGTGGCTAAGCCTAAAATATTGACCCGTTGCCACGTCAGTGGGTGTGGCCTACTTCTTTAAAATAGCAGGCCACTAGGGCGATTAAATGCCATGCTTTTACTGAGGATTATGAAATTTGGTACACTTTTGTAGTGTCCGGCAGGTTTTAAAAGAGGCTGGGGCTTTAGGGGTATGGCGAATTTAGGCATCACACCAGTGCAGCCATCCTTCTCAACAGGCATCATTGAGTTGAATCAAGTTCAGTAATCGCGGTGGCGCATGATGCAGCGCGGTGGGTTTCTTCATATTGTGATATTTCATTTTTGCAGTTATCGTGACAGCCCTAACTAGTATGCCCAACTCTGCTCGGCGCCTCTCAGTGGGAGCAACTCCAGAGTGGTAGAAAGTCCAACCCGTCTCAAGGAAACTGGTTCCAGAGCCAGAGCCAGGTGTTGACGTGAGTCCGACTATATCTAGTCAGAACCTCTCAACCTCACACACCAACTCAGGCTCCTAATGCCGCAAAGCATCATGGGAGTTGTAGTCTGTGCAGTAAAATCAGCCAGCAGGTCAGTTTTAATATATTCTTGATATTTATCTCGCTGACCACATAAAAATGCTCCGCGGGCCACATCTGGCCCTTAAACCATGAAACAGTCAGAATTGTATATTTTTGTAAACAGACCTCACAAACCCTAATTGTCTCCATAAACCATCATGTTGTCAAGTCCTCATGAACCTGTGGAAATTCATATGTGAAATGCATGTATGTATGTTCTGATATGTTTTTCTTATATTTGAAGTGAGACTTTTCTTCTATGGGTAAAATCACAATTTTTGACATACTTTTCATGTTCACTAAATGCAGGGAAATTTGTGTCCTCATAAACCACCAAAAAGTCATAGTGGTTTCATAAACCATAAATGCATGCGTGTGTGTGTGTGCGTGTGTGTGTGCGTGTGTGTGTGTGCGTGTGTGTGTGTGCGTGTGTGTGTGTGTGTGTGTGTGTGTGTGTGTGTGCGTGTGTGTGTGTGTGCGTGTGTGTGTGTGCGTGTGTGTGTGTGCGCGCGCATGTGTGTGTGTGTGTGTGTATTGCTGTAAAGACTCCGACACAACAAGTCAGTGACTCGATGCAATCTTCTGGGTTCCTTATAAAGGTAATGTTTTACTGATTGTCTTAATGGACTGAACTGTATTGGAATGTTTACTTTGTGAAGAGCCTTTAGCTGATTTGGAGCTGTATAAATAAACTGAACTGAATTGATGTTGTTGAAAACGTTCACATTGGAGAGTTTTTGCTGCTGCATTTCAGTTAAAATGTGAACAACCACACAAAAAAATCAGATTTACTCAAAAAATGGAATTGAGCATCAAGGCCTGCAGTGTGAAGCTATCCTAACTGTACAGATGGTCTCTACAGACAGACTTCAGTGCTGCACAAACACAAGGAAACATTAAAGGGGCAGTAGAATGTAAAGCCACCTTTACCTTGTTGTATAAAGGCAGCTTGTCTGGTCAGATGTAGCAGACCAAAAGGTAAGAGCTGTGTCTGAGCTGCTTTCTGTGTAAATGAGTCATCTTGAAAAGACAAAGGAGAAATGCTTCGTTCTGAGAAATGCTGGTTTATGATATATTAAGCAAGCCATATCTGCTCACATCTGCATGTTCCAAACCACTTTGAAATGCTGGGGCACTGCTCATGTTCCAGGGTGTACTGGGATTATCCAGATTTGAATGAATGCCAGATCGATCCATAGCTTGTGGTCCGGTCTTGTCTGGTACTCAACAACTCCCTGAACGCATCAGTCTGCTTCATCAGATCTTAGATCAGGTGAGAGCCAGGCATTTCTCATCATGCCCTAGGGTTTTGCAGCCAGTGGAGAGCAACTGCAGCCCCCTTGATCTCACAAGGGCATTTTTGCCTATTTAGGCGTTCCGTCAGCAACTCGGACGCGCCGATCACCGGTGATCAAATCTGCACAGAACTGGCTCATCTCGAACACGTGACCCCACCCACCGTGGAACTGACAATGGGCAAAGTGCATTGCGGGTAGCTGGTTTCAGGGTTTCCCTTACATAGGCGTAGCCGTGGCGGGCCGCCACGGCTGAAATCCCACCGCCACGCCTACAACATCCCAAGTTTTATTGATGTTTTTTTTTTTTTGCGCCGTTTCCCGAAGAAGCAGCGGGAACTGCCGTCAGCTCGGTCCAGGCATCAACGCACACACACAGACAGTAAGCCGGGCGTGCACTGTGCGACTTTTTCACTTTTTTGAGCAGATTTTCCAGTCGTGCGAGAATCCACAAGATCGGGGCGAGTTTTGCGCTGAGCGTCGTGTAGTGTACAGGGGGTTACGAGAGGCGATTAACACCACGTGACCAGCTACCGATCAGCAATCGTGAGCTCGCACGGACTTCCGGAGTGTTTAATATTTATCTCGTTCCTCATGAGGGTTGAAGCGGCGCAGCGAGCGGCTGCGACCCAAAAAGTATCAGAACCGCTCACGGCGCATTCGCAATCCTGCATCAACTCCGTTCACCCGCTATTTCCCTAATAACACACGTTGTTTGTTTTTATTTCTACACGTTTTTTTACTCACAAAGATTGTCAAGAAAGCGTGTTTGTCGTGTTCATGTCAAATTAAACTGATCACAAAACACAGATTTACTTTCTTTATTTCGTTTCCTCATCCAACCCCCATAAATCCCTGTGTGTCCTCCTGCAGCACTCCCGAAGGACAACAGGCAAAACAAGACAAAAAAGTCTGACGTGTTGTGTAAAAACTGCTATTTTTAGCATATTTTAGGTCAGACGTGTTGCTACCAGATGTACAGTGAGCACATGACTCGTGAGATCTACCCTGCGCTGAAGTCGTACAGTTTGAGCTGAAGCTGTGTTACGAGTGAAAAAGTCGCACAGTGTCCGCCCAGCTTATTATAATGTTCACTGTAATGCATCTTGATGTTCTTAACAAATAAATTAAATAGAAAATATTGGTCAATAATGCCAAATATGTAAATTTGTGTTTCAGTCATTTTTATACTGGCTTAAAAATACTTCATTAAGTCTACTAAGCAGGGGCGTAGAACGTTTTTATTAGGGCCAGCCCAGTAATGATCTTGGACCAAAATAAAGGGGGCAGAAAGTCAAATAAAGGGGGCAAAAGAAGATGTTTTTCCAGACGCCAAGAAAAATTAAATGCCAAATCCACCCTGCAAAGTGTGTCACTGAGAGTTTAAAACAGAAATTATTCTTGTGCAAATATTGGTGTATTCACCTTTAATACTAGTTATTACAATGCAGCAGTCGCTGGATTGGTGCAGTTCAAAGTGGAGTGCATCAAATAAAACAATATTAACATAAAGGTGAGACGTGTCATACCCCCCCACCCCCCGCCACCACCACCACAGCTGGAAAAATTCCTAGGGGAAACACTGGGTTTACAGTTGTTTTTTCCTATTTTGGGGTGTTTTGTTGGGGTTTTATTGCTAGGTGCGTGTTGGCTGTTGTTTGTCTTCAGTGTTCTGATGGTGCTATTTTTGGTTGGTGTTAATTTTGCACCGCGACTTGAGTAGCGGTTCCATTCTGAGGAATGGAATCCCGCTGCTCTTCGACCTTTCATCCGTGTGTCTAACAATAATTTTGGCTCTCAGTGTGTTTGCTCACGTCAGATTCTAACTGTTCGCATTCTTCCAAACACATTGCATTGTCATCATGAAACTGATTGCTGTGTTATAAATTCCCTTAGTATAGCTGTATGTCATTGCTACTATTTATATGCAAGAACTGTTCATCTATTACAGCAGGCACTTGTTGGGCAACTAAGAGGTCCTTTAAGAATATATATTGAGCCGTTAGCAGCAGCTGTTAATCTTTACATTCTTACATGTCTGCTTTTGTGATGAAGGTGGGTTTAACAACTGTTAACAGTCATTATTGTTATGCAAATTAAGCAGTGTTTTGACGCTAACTTTAGCTATTTATTACTTTAATCTCTTATTATTTTTACCATTTCTTGTATTATAATTTTTATTATACTATTCAATTATTTAATATGTTTTTATTTGATGCTAAATGTCGGCTAGGCAGAGGCGGTCGAAAACAGAATGGGACACAAGAGTGTAGTTTGAACCAGTGTCCAGATTAGCGTCACCTGTTCTAGTGTCGCAGGCACATAAGGCTTACCTGCCCTGGCACAGGTGGATGAATCAATCATCAGGTCATCAGGAGCAGACGTTGGCTCTGCATCCTGGAAATCAGAGTCAAGGAACATGTTATCTGGTTGCAGGTTTTGTTTCAAATCTGGAAGTGAATCAGCAGATGTGAGCTTCTAATCTAGCTAAGTTACTTTTGACATGCAGTAATCACTAAAGTATTTTGGTTACTTTTGAATGTAGTAATCAGTAGTAGAGTCCATTTCCATTATCTATGCTGATATGTAGGAGACATAGTCAGCCGATGGCCGATATGTACTGCAAATTTTTATGGGGCCAATTTCCATGGCCAATATCTAGACAGTTTCCTCATTATACTCATGCTAAAATGTCATTAATACCATCAGTGGATGCACAGAATTTCTGAAGGTGAATCAGTTTTTGAACCCTGAATTTAACTGTTAAATCTTAACTTTGTATACTGCTCAGTGTTAAAGTCAGACATCTAAATAAAGTAAATTCAGAATATTTATTATGCAGATGTTATTAGTGAACAAAATGAAACATTTAAATTAAATTCTGCAATAGCACCATGCTGCCCGTGGATGAAGATGTGCTTGTAAAATGTATGGGGTTGCGTTGATTACATGGACCTGGTTTGGAGTCAGATGGTGAGCAGGGGTTCAGGGGTTCTGGAGAGGAGGGTCTGCCAGATTGTCGAACCTCAGATTCAGGTGGAGCAATGTGGTTTTCGTCCTGGCCGTGGAACACTGGACCAGCTTTATACCTTTAGGGGTATCCTGGAGGGTGCGTGGGAGTTTGCCCAACCAATCTACATGTGTTTTGTGGATTTGGAGAAGGCATTCGACCGCATCCCTCGGTGGGCCTAGTGTGGGGTACTCTGGGAGTATGGGTTACCAGGCCCTCTGATACGGGCTGTTAGGTTCCTGTATGACCGGTGTCAGAGCTTGGTCCTCATTGCTGGCAGTAAGTCGGGCTCGTTCCCAGTGAGAGTTGGACTCCGCCAAGGCTGCCCTTTGTCACCAATTCTGTTCATAACCTTTATGGACAGGATTTCTAGGTGCAGCCAAGGTGTTGAGGGCATCCGTTTTGCTGGCCTGAGGATCAGGTCTCAGCTTTGTGCAGGTGATGTGGTCCTGTTGGCTTCATCAGAACGTGATCTTTGGCTTTTGCTGGAGCGGTTCGCAGCCGAATGTGAAGCAGCTGGGATGAGAATCAGCTCCTCTAAATCTGAGACCATGGTATAATGCCTTCTCCGGGTCAGGGATGAGGTCCTGCCCCAAGTGGAGGAGTTCAAGTATCTCGGGGTCTTGTTCACGAGTGAGGGACAGCTGGAGCGCGAGATCGATAGGCGAATTGGAGGTGCGTCTGCAGTGACGCGAGCGTTGTACAGTTCTGTCATTGTGAAGAGAGAGCTGAGCCAGAAGGCGAAGCTCTGAGTTTACCAGCCAATCTGTTCCTACCCTCACCTATGGTTGCAAGCTTTGGGTAGTGACCGAAAGAATGAGATCGAGGATACAAGCGGCCAAAATGAGTTTTGTCCGCAGGGTGGCTGGGCTGTCCCTTAGAGATAGAGTGAGCAGCTTGGTCATCTGGGAGGTGCTCGGAGTAGATCCGCTGCTTTTAAGCGCCTTGTGATTTTTATCTTGAGAGGCGCTATAGAAATGATATTTTCTTCTTCTTCTTCTTCTTCTTCTTCCACGTCGAGAGGAGCCTGGTGAGGTGGCTCAGGCATCTGGTCAGGATGCCTAGGGCTGCTCGATTAGGACAAAAATAATAATCACGATTATGGTGACTGAAATTGAGATCACGATTATTTAGGACGATTTTTCTATTTATGCTGATTTTATTTGTTTTTATTCAGTCATAAAATTGCTCAGGGCACAATCAGGACAAAAATAAGAAACAAGATGATCACTAAAATAACTCCTGATTCCCAGTATAAAAAGACCAATATACTTATAGCTCATAGTCTATGACCCAAGGGCTATAGACCTTGGTTTAACTCATTTAAGTCTAACCAGTACAGACCCAAATACCAATATCTTGCAAATACTGACAGCAAGAATGATACAGTGGCATTTATAAAAAATTAAATGCAAATAAATTGATGTTCACAAACAGTTGCATAACATTTATTGAGTCGTGTCAAGGTGCTGTAGGAGAGTGTACTAGCACCGTGTCCTCAGAGAGATTAGTTATTATTTATCAGCGTGAGGAACTTATTTCTACCTTATTTATAAACTATTTATTTACAAGTCCATCAGTTAATGTAATAATTGTCCCAACCACAGCTGCACTCCCCACCCCCCAACCCGGTCTCACAGCAATCGGGGCAAGCTGCACGTGTTTAGCACGCCGCACGCACACATTTAGCCGTTTTTATCGGCTCAGGAGTCCACAGGTGCGGTGTGTGTGTCACTCACTCTGGTTACTCCAACAAGAAGCTGGCTCCGAGAGCTGTTTCTTTAGCGACTGACACATCACTGCATCATTCCCTTTCCTAATGTTGTGAAGAACGGTCCGGAGCGCAGGCGGAGTGTTTAGCTAACCTGCAGGAAATGTCGACAACAGTTATTCAGAAAGTAGCTAAGGGTCACCAGAGATGTTTCTGAGGTGTTCGCCAGGTACTTTTGAGATTTAAAAAGTCAAGAAGGGGGTCTGAAAAGCTGCTAGAAATAGCGTCAAAGTTGCTAAGTTGGCAACACTGAGGAGCGCTTCATTTGCAACTCGGGGCAGCGCAGGCGGGAGGAGCAAATAATCGGCTTGTTTTGTTTTTTATAATCGTTCAAAACTCAGATCGTAATCGTGATTAAAATTCGATTAATTGACCAGCCCTACTCCTGGACATCTCCCTAGTGAGGTTTTTCGCACACGTCCAACCGGAAGGAGGCCTTAAGGGAGACCCAGGACATGTTGGAGGGACTATGTCTCTCACCTGGCCAGGTAACTCTGGGATTCCCCTGGAAGAGCTGGCCCAAGTGGCTGGGGAGAGGGAAGTCCAGGCCTCTCGACTTAGGCTGCTGCCCCCGCGGCCCAACTCCTGATGAGCAAAAGAAAATGGATGGATGGATTGATTGATTGATTTTAGGCATTATAACTCATTCCTACTATGGGGTATTGTGAAGAGGAAGATGCAATATGCCAGAGCCAACAATACAGAACAGCTGAAGGCCACTCTCAGAACAACATGTTTCTACATTCACCTCAGATGAAAAAGTCACTCAATTCAAAAGTTAGTTCATGTTCTCTCACCAACTTAAACCAGTAATTCAACTTTTTATTAATATATGTGTGAAAATAAAGTTACAGTGGCTATTAATTCACATCATGTGTTCCTGTTTCCCACAGATGTTCACCAGATGGTTAAAGAAGAAGCTCCTGAAGATCAGAGTGCTGGTGTGGATCAGCAGGACCCAGAAATGTTCCACATAAAGGAAGAACAGGAGGAACTCTGGACAAGTCTGGAAGGAGAGCAGCACCATTTGAAGGAAGAAGCTAAACTTGCCAGGTTTCCATTCACATCAGTTTCTATAAAAAGTGAGGATGATGAAGACAAACCTCTGTTGTCACAGCTTCTTTATCAGCAGCAAATAGAAGACAGAGACGTTCCAACCAGCAGCTCAGCTGACCAGACAACAGCAGAAACTGGTAGAGGAGCAGAATCTATCAGGAACCCAGTTCTGAACTCTAATGAACAGATTTCTGATTCTTCAGAGACTGAAGTTAGTGAAGATGATATGAATCTAAACGATGAGTTGTTAGACTCTGGGCCTGAAACTGGAGATGGAGACAATGACTGCAATGACAGCAGGTCTTCTGAGTCGGATGCTAAGACTTTCAACAAATCATTTAGCTGTCCTGAGTGTGGTAAAGAGTTTCTCCACAAGTGGTCTCTCCAGAGACATGTGAGAGTGACGAGTCATTCAGCAATAAGATCTTCAGGATGTCTGGTGAATAAGAAAAATGTTAGAATAAAGCAACATGTGGACTCATGCAGGAAAGTCCAGGCAGAGCCAAAATCATTCAGTTGTGACATTTGTGGAAAAAAATGTAGTTGTAATAAAAATTTAAACAAACACATGAGAGTCCACACAGAACAGAAACATTTTGCGTGTGAGCTCTGTGGGAAAAGCTTTTGTAGAAGAACTATTTTCAACAAGCACATGAGAGTCCACACAGGAGAGAAACCGTTTGTCTGTGCACTCTGTGGAACAAGTTTTAATCAAAGGACAAATTTAAACAGTCACATGAGAGTTCACACAGGAGAGAAACCTTTTTCCTGTGCACTCTGTGGGAAAAGCTTTACTCATAGGCCCAACTTAAACAATCACATGAGAGTTCACACAGGACAGAATCCTTTTGCCTGTGAGTTCTGTGGGAAAAGCTTTAATCAAAGGACAACTTTAAACAGGCACATTAGAGTTCACACAGGACAGAAACCTTTTGCCTGTGAACTCTGTGGAGGACGTTTTAATCAAATTTCAGCTTTAAACAGTCACATGAGAGTCCACACAGGACAGAAACCTTTTGCCTGTGAGCTATGTGGAAAAAGCTTTAATCAAAGGGCACATTTAAACACTCACATGATAGTCCACACAGGACAGAAACCCTTTTCCTGTGAACTCTGTGAAAAAAGTTTTACTCGTAAGTCAACATTAAACAATCACATGAGAGTCCACACAGGACAGAAACTCATTTGAGTGTGAACTCTGTGAACAAAGATTTAGTTGTAAGTCAACATTAAACAATCACATGAGTGTCCACAAAGGACACAACACATGTATTTAAAGTGCAAGTCACCCTCAAACTAACTTTCTTTTACTGATAAATGGTAAAAATTACTGTCTAAAACACTAGATAAGTGAGGTCATTATTTTGGAATTTTAGTGCATCTTACTTAAAATTTAAACATTCAGCTTGAAACTGCCAGTGTAGCGCCCTCTTCAGGTTAAAGCTCTGCACCGTAAACATGAATATGTAGACGCCCCATTGGGCGCTGGAGAGCCTAACCGTGTCTCCACCATATTGGATGCGTCTCCTCACTCTCCAAAGTCAGTGCAGAATGAACGACTAGGCCCTTATCTGTGCAGCCTATGGGTGCAACAACTGGCGTAATATTTAAAACAGATCACATGGGATTATAACTGACAACTAATGAAAAATCCCAAATTCAGTAACTCAGAAAATTAGATTATCAATTGAGGCCATCTTTTTTTCTTTTTTTTTTTTAAATAGCATATTTAGAAATGTTGGCCTTCTGATAAGTGCCTCAATGCGGCTCGGCTTTCTGAACTGTTACATCATTCAGGTGTTCTGAGTGGGTTCTATTGTCCTTTTAGGTAAACCAGCTGTTACAGCTTCTTGGACATATCTTACAATGTTTGATTTACTTCTTTTTATTTGACTTTGCTATTATTCTGTAAAATCAGGCTTAATAGAGCAAATCATGGAAATCTCATAAATATTAGAACAAATCCAACTGAGCAGAAAACTAGAAAAACTAAATGGGGTTGATTGAACATTGTCTATTTTTTCAAGCACTTTGTTAGCTAATGACTTGATTTGTGATGATCAGATCTCTTTGCTCTGGAAGAATCCGGGCTGCACTTAGAGAACTATGTTAGTTTAAAGAAGTCACCTCCTTCTAATTATTTAAATCCTCATATTGCTCGAAGTACAGGGAGAGGAGGAGGAAGAGTAGAAACCATTTTTCATTCAGACCTATTAATCAATCCCTTACCAATTAATAGTTACAGTTCTTTTGAACGTCTTATTCTTAGTTTTCCTAATCCTGATTGCAAAACTGTAAAACCACTCTTGTTTGTAGTTCTGTATCGTCCAGCCGCCCCTTACTCTTGAGTTTTTGGATCTCTGATTTTTTTTAATCTGATTTGGTGCTAAATACTGATAAGGTCATTGCAGTGGGGGATTTTCACATTCATGTGGACATTGAAAATGATAGCCTCAATGTAGCCTTTAGTAATATCTTAGACTATTGGTTTTACCCAAAGAATACATAGCTCCACCCACTCCTGCCATCATACTTTAGACCTTGTGCTGACCTATGGCATAAACTGTGAGGAAATAATATTTCCACATAATCGGACCACTTTTCGATAACTTTGTTTTTCATAACTGAGTTCTTGAGACATGAAAGTAAATTTCATTATAGTCGACCTCTATCTGACAACGCTGTTGCATGTTTTAAATCAATTGTTCCATCTTTACTGTCCTCAGTATCTCAGAGGAACGTAGCAGGGGCAATTATTTTTCTAGCCCTTCAAAAATTGATTATCTAGTTCATAATGTTACAACTTCTTTACGTGTGGCATTAGATGATGTTGCCCCTTTCAAAAAGAAGGTAATTAAGCACAAGAAGTTGGCTCCTTGGTTTAATTCTGATCTACGGACTTTAAAATAAAACTCTAGAAAATTAGAGAGAACATGGCACTCTACACAACAGGAGGAGTCCTACTTATCCTGGAAAAAATAGTCTTGTGTTTTATAAAAAAAAAAAAAGGACTTGACAAGCTAGAACTGCATATTTTTCATCGCTAATTGAGGAGAATATGAATAATCCTAAATTTATTTTCAATTCAGTTGCCAAACTTACACAGATTCATAGCTCTGAACCATCTATTCCCTTAGTCCTCAGCAGCAACGACTTTATGGGATTTTTCATGAGTAAAATGAGTTTTATTAGAAACTAAATTAGTAGCATCCTCCCTAATGCAATTTCTTTTTCCTCAGTAAGTAAGGCAGCATCAGAGGTAACTGTAGAACCTCATCTGTGTTTGAACTGTTTTAAGCCAGTTAAGCTTCCAGAGTTATCAAAAATATTAGCTTCATCTAAACCTTCAACTTGCATTTTAGATCCAATACCAACCAAATTATTTAAAGATGCATTTCCTTTGGTTCCTTCCCCCATTCTAGATATAATCAATCTATCCTTAGTAAATGGATACATACCACAGTATTTTAAGGTTGTTGTAATCAAACCTCTACATAAAAAACCTTCTCTGGATCCAGATGACCCAATGAATTATTGACCATTACCTAACCTTCCATTTTTATCCAAAGTCCTTCAGAAAATAGTGGCCAATTAACTATGTGAGCATCTAAACACTAATGATCTGTTTGAGGAATTCCAGTCTGGTTTTAGAGAGTATCACAGCACTGAAACTGCATTAGGGAAAGTTACAAATGATATTCCCATGGCCTCAGATAAGAATCTGGTGTCTGTTCTAGTCTTGTTAGATCTCAGTGCTGCTTTTGACACAGTTGATCACAATATTCTTTTAGAAAGGCTTGAACGTGTTGTAGGGATCAAAGGAACAGCGCTAGGCTGGTTTAAATCCTACCTGTCTGATAGATTTCATTTTGTAAATGTACTTGACAAATTTTCATACTCCAGGGTTACTTGTGGAGTACCACAGGGTTCAGTGCTTGGACCGATTATTTTTACTATACATATATATATATCCATCCATCCAGCCATTTTCATCTGCTTATCAGGAGTCGGGTCACGGGGGCAGCAGTCTAAGTCGAGAGGCCCAGACTTCCCTCTCCCCAGCCACTTGGGCTAGCTCCTCCGGGGGAATCTCAAGGCGTTCCCTGGCCAGGTGAGAGACATAGTCCCTCCAACGTGTCCTGGGTCTACCTTTAGTTCTCCTCCCGGTTGGACATGCCCGGAAAACCTCACCAGGGAGGCGTCCAGGAGGCATCCTGACCAGATGCCTGAGCCACCTCAACTGGCTCCTCTCGATGTGGAGGGGCAGTGGGTCTACTCCGAGCCCCTCCCGTATGATCAAGCTTCTCACCCTATCTCTAAGGGAGAGCCCAGCCACTCTTCGGAGAAAACTCATTTCGTCCGCTTGTATCCGCGATCTCGTTCTTTCGGTCACTACCCAAAGCTCATGACCATAGGTGAGGGTAGGAACGTAGATCGACCTGTAAATCAAGAGCTTCACCTTCCAACTCAGCTCCCTCTTCACCACGACAGACCGATACAACGCCCACATCACTGCAGATGCAGTACCAATCCGCCTATTGATCTCACACTCCAGTTTTCCCTCACTAGTGAACAAGACCCCGAGATACATAAACTCCTCCACTTGGGGCAGGACCTCATCCCTGACACGGAGAAGGCATTCTACCCTTTTCTGAATCAAGACCATGGTCTCAGATTTAGAGGAACTGATTCTCGTCCCAGCTGCTTCACTCTCGGCTGTGAACCGCTCCAGCGAAAGCTGAAGATCACGTTCTGATTAAGCCAACAGGACCACATCATCTGCAAAAAGCAGAGACCTGATCCTCAGGCCACCAAAACGGATGCCCTCCACACCTTGGCTGCGCGTAGAAATCCTGTCCAAAATAGGTTTTGAACAGAATCGGTGACAAAGGGCAGCCTTGGCGGAGTCCAACTCTCACTGGGAACGAGCCTGACTTACTGCTGGCAATGTGGACCAAGCTCTGACACTGGTCATACAGGGACCTAACAGCCCGTATCAGAGGGCCTGGTACCCCATAATCCCGGAGTACCCCTCACAGGGCCCCCCGAGGGACGCGGTCAAACCCCTTCTCCAAATCCACAAAACACATGTCGACTGGTTGGGCAAATTCCCACGCACCCTCCAGGATACCCCTAAGGGTATAGAGCTGGTCCCGTGTTCCACGGCCAGGACAAAAACCACACTGCTCCACCTGAATCTGAGGTTCGACAATCTGGCAGACCCTCCTCTCCAGAACCCCTGAATAACCTTGTGTGTGTGTGTGTGTGTGTGTGTGTGTGTGTGTGTGTGTGTGTGTGTGTGTGTGTGTGTGTGTGTGTGTGTGTGTGTGTGTGTGTGTGTGTGTGTGTGTGTGTGTGTTGGTAGAGCACTGCTTTCCCCCCCTGAGGCACCACATGGTGGACCAGAATCTCCTCGAAGCCGTATGGAAGTCTTGCTCCATGGTCTCACCGAACTCCTCTCATGCCCGGGTTTTTGCCTCGGCGACCACCCGAGCCGCCTTCCGCTTGGACTGCCGGTACCTGTCAGCTGCCTCTGGAGTCCCACAGGCCAAAAAGACCTGATAGGACTCTTTCTTCAGCTTGACAGCATCCCTAACCGCCGATGTCCACCAGTGTATTCAGGGGTTGCCGCCTCAACAATGGAGGCACAGAACAGGGTCCATTCAGACCCAGTGTCCCCCTCCTCCCCTGGAACATTTTGGAAGTTCTTTCGGAGGTGGGAATTGAAGCTCCTTCTGACAGGAGACTCTGCCAGACATTCCCAGCAGTCCCTCGCGATACGTTTTGGCCTGCCTGGTCTGATCGGCATCCTCCCCCACCATCTGAGCCAACTCACCTCCAGGTAATGGCCAGTTGACAGCTCTGCCCCTCTCTTCACCCGAGTGTCCCAAGACATGCGGCCGCAGGTCAGATTAAACAACAGCAAAGTCGATCATCGAGCTGCAGCCTAAGGTATCCTGGTGCCAAGAGCACATATGGACACCTTTATGTCTGAACATGGTGTTCATTATGGACAATCCATGACTAGCACAGAAGTCCAATAACAAAACACCACTCTAATTCAGATCAGGGGGGCCGTTCCTCCCAACCACACCTCTCCAGGTCTTGCTGTCGTTATCCACGTGAGCGTTAAAGTCCCCCAGCAGAACTCAGAATATATAAGTATATATGGATTGTTGTATGGAGTATAATCAGACTTGTTAATGAATGGAATTAAGTCTGGAATATGTCTCTCATTATGTGAAATCAATTCTAGGCTCTACAAGGTGTATCCGTGTGTGTGTGTGTGTGTGTGTGTGTGTGTGTGTGTGTGTGTGTGAGAGAGAGAAACCAAGCTAAAGGCCTGTTACCTCTTCTCATGTTTGTGTGTGTGTGTGTGTGTGTCCTGGCTGTAGCCTCCTGATCTCCTGATGTCGTAAATAATGGATGTGCCTTCACTACACTGTTATGGTTAGAAAATGAATGTTGTACCTAGGTAATATCTTTGACCATGACATGTCATTCAAATCCAACGTTATACAAGTTTGTATGATTTCCTTTTTCTCCTTCGGAAAATTGCTAAGATTAGAAGCATCCTTTCCAGGAGTGATGCTAAAAAATTAGTTCATGCATTTATTACATCAAGACTGGATTACTGTAATTCATTACTATTGGGAAGTCCACAGAATGTAGTTAAACGTCTTCAGCTTGTCCAAAATGCTGCATCTAGAGTTCTGATGAGAATTAAAAAGAGATCTCATATCTCTCCTGTTTAGCTTCCCTACATTGGCTGCCTGTTAAATGCAGAATAGATTTTATGATATTCTGTCTCACATATAAAGCTCTTAATCAAGCTCCATCATGCATTAGTGACCCGATTGTTCAAGTGCTTTTCTCCCCAGAAGAAGCTACAATGGTGTTCTGCTGAGCTGTGGTAGCCTCATGGAGGGGGCCATTGGCTTGAACACTGCTTCTTACCACTTAAACATTCTCCCTCTGATGATAATAACATTTTACTTTCTTTGACATTGAATGTGCTACTACTAGTTTACCTGTTGAATTAATTATAGACTCACTAGGATGAATACAACAAAGTTTATCGCTCACTAAATAGAATGCTTACTAAGAAATCACAATGTAACCATAGAAACACTACTTGGTATATGTGTGTGTGTGTGTGTGTGTGTGTGTGTGTGTGTGTGTGTGTGTGTGTGTGTGTGTGTGTGTCTGCTCTGTCTACTCGATCCCCAGTGAGTCGTGGCAGATGGCTGCTTAAACTCAGCCAGGATCTTCCTGTTAAAAGGGAGTTTTCCTCTCCACTGTCGCTGCATGCTTGTTTAGTATGAGGATTGCTGTAAAGACTCTGACACTAGTCAGTGACTCGATGCAACTTGCTGTGTTCTTCATATAGGAAACCTTTTACTGATTGGCCTAATGAACGGACCTGTATTGGAATGTTTAGTGTGTGAAGTGCTTTGAGACGACTCTTGTTGTGATTATGCGCTTTAGAAATAAACTTGAAACTTGAACTTATTCTTTAGTTTCATGAGACGTCATTGTTTCACTTAGCAGCAAAGTCAATGTTAATATAAGTGTTGGTTCTAGATCTTAGCAATGATCTTTATGCTTCTTGCTTTGTTTCTTCTTATTGTCGTCAGAATTAAAAGCTTGAATCCAGGACTGTTTTCTCATTGTGTGACAAGTCTCTAATAAAATCCTACAACACTACACCTGCTGTCTCCCACTGCACACTCACCTACTCAGCTCTGTGACTACCTCTGTTGGCTCACAGGTGGATTAGTGGAGGATCAGCTTGGAGAGCTCATTCCACCTCTGGACTTTCACACAGAACACCAACAAAAGCACACCAGGAGCAGCGTGGAGGTGTTGTGTGAACAGCTTTCAGGAAACTAGGACAGTTTATCAAAGTCAAAATTGCGATTGCAGAGCTGCTGAGATGTTTACCTGCTTTAGTTTCTTCACTTCCTGCTGAAGCTGAACTTGTTTGATGAGCCATAAAGTGGCGTGGTTTTGGGGGTGCTTGGTAAATCTGTCATCTTTTCATTCGACCATAAACCAAAACATCCGAAGTATAAAACTATGCCCACGTCATCTTTAACGCCAGTTCAAAGCCTTCTAGAGAAGTTGACGGAGTGGCTAATCCGTAACTTTCCTCTTCAGCCGAAAGAACCAACGACAAGCTGGATAAAATCTGTTGCAGTTCCAACTGCTGCAACGGTTCCTTTCAGAATAAAAGCTGAACTCACTGACCCTCTGCGGGTCCATCTGACGCTGTCAACCAACTGTCGCTTTTTACCTGGAGACGATCCAAAGACTAGTCTGTCGTACTGCTGATGCCGTTTCATCAGCTCCGGCACCGAAAGAGGGGTTCCCGGACCTGGCAGTCTGGATCTGTACAGAGGTCTCATTCTAATGTGTGGAGCGATAAAAATGGCGTCTTATGTGTTTATGAATCTCCGAATTAAAGCCTAGCGCAAAGACATCACCTTCACTCCCATCAGAACTAATCGTTTCTTCGGATTTGCTGGTTCTGAACAACAATCCACACTACACCATTCTCCGTCTCATTCACCTTAGTTACACCATACATTTAGTGTTAAAGTTTGTCTAGTTTTAATTTGTTTAGTAATAAATCTTTAAACTTTTAAAACTTGACTCTCTTCTGTTGTCTCTCAGTCAATATGAAGTGTTACATAATCCCTGCAATAAAAAGTTCCAATCTTCTGGTTAAAAGTGCCCAAAGATCCATAAGATTGATTCCATATTTTCTATGGAATCTCAGGTCTCATGGTCATTAAATAACATGTAAATTAACCCTTTACAGAATGGAAAAGCAAAACATCCCATAATTTAGAGGCAATGGCTGAAAAGGCTCCATCAGCTGTTGTGTTTCATTTGTTGGTGGGGACATCCAAAAGCAGCTGAGATGCTGACCTCAGCGCTCTGACTGGATCATGATGCTTCAGCTAATCAGACACATTTCATTTCCTTGAAGAGTCTTAAAACCTCCTGAACTGAAGGATGAAACTAAGAGGAAGCCAGTGTAAAGTCGCCATAGAGGAGTGATGTGGTGGTGCCGTCTCCTACCTGTCTACAGGTGAGCTGCTGCATTCTGGATCATCTACCGGTGATGGAGATATGACTGATTTAAAGCAAAGTCTAGAGCGCTACAGTCGTCTAACCCAGAATCCAACAGGACAAACGCTTCAGTAAAGTCTGAATTACAGAAAATCCAGATCTGATTTCTAGAAGGACAGGAGAGAATATCAGACCCGGTGGTCCAAAATAAAGACCTGGGGTCTCATTTATTAAACATGGCATAGAATCCTGACTAAAACCGTACTTAAGCTCAGCAAAAAAATGCACTTACGCCAAGTAGGTTTGTGATCTATCAAACATGGAGTACGCACAGCTGCACGCAATCTTCATAAATCACAGACTAACAAGAAAGGTTCTCCGCTTCTTTTTAGTCATATCCCGCCCTCACCACGCCCACTTACTGCCATAAATGGTCAATGCAAAGTGCCTTGTGGATCTCATGCATCTACATAAGCCGGCTTGTTGCAGCATTTCGATCCCGACCGCAGATCAAGGAAGCGCTATTTCACAAGCAGAAGTTGAGGTACTTGTGGGTGAGGTGGACAAAAGAAAGGAAGTGCTTTTGCTAAACAAATAAGAGAAAATCCACGGAGTGGCACAGCGTTGCTGAAGCCGTCAATGTTGTGAATTCTTCAGAGAGATCTGTGGTGGATATAAAACAATGGTCCAATCGGGATTCGATCCCCAAACTCCCAGGTGAAAGTCACGTGCGCTAACCAGTCACCCAAACAGAGATCTCCCCTGTCCAAGTAGCCAGGGTGCATCATCAATTGGGTCACAGTGACAGGACACACACTGTCACAGATGCATGACATTCTGTCTCAATCTGTCCTCCGGCTTATATTCTGCATTCCGTATTCTGCGCTTCAGGCTGTGTGTGTGTGCACGCGTGTGGAGGGTCTTGTTCTGTGTGAAAACGAAGCAGTACAAGTGATAATGCTGCAGGATTTCATCATGTTATCCTTCTCAGCAGCAGCACTGCAGGTGCTCTCCATGTCCAACATGTGCGTAAGCCAGGACCTTAGTCAACTTAAAGTTGCACACATTTTTCCACTAAGTTTTCTTTCATAAATCTAGAGCTGAAACAACTAATCGATTTAATCGATTATAATCGATTATTAAAATAGTTAACAACTTTTTTAGTCATCGATTAGTTGTTTAATAATCATATTTTACCGCATAAAGTCTATTTTTACCACAATCTGACATCGGTTACAAGCTGTTAAATTTGCCGCCAGTGTGTGGCAGTAATGAGCCACTGATCTACCAGTGGAGCCGTAGAAGAAGAAATGAGCCAATGAGTGCCCTCGGTTTTCATGACGTATCACGTTACTGACGCTCATCTTGCTGTGAGAGATGGCGGAACAAGAGGAAATACGGAAGAAAAATAGAAGCGACAAAACTGAAGAGAAACCCCGGACAAAAACCTCACGAGTATGGGAGCACTTTACTCTAGATGCCTTGAAAAGACGGGTGACCTGTAAAATATGCAAAAACCATCTAGCATAGCACGGAAGCACGACGTCCCTAAGTGAACATTTGAGACGAAAACATGTGGGGGCTGATGCAGCAGAGGAAGAGCACCGCGGTCAAGTGAGCCGTCATTTGGAAGAGCCAGCCCGGTAAGTAACAGAAAATAAACAAGCTGGACTTAGTGTTTTAGCTGAGTTCGTTATACTGGATGTTAAACATGTTTTTTGCCGCGTCAGTCTACGGTGTTCTACTTCTGATTGACTAGATGCCATCGTGAATCTCCTCCGTGTTGTGAATCATGCGCTTGCCAAATTCAGCACGTCTGTTTATAAGAATGTTCTCGTTAAGAGAAAAACGGCACAAACCCATAACTATGTTCCTCATTCAAAAAAGGACAACTCCGCGGTGAAAAATTTACAGACGAGCTGTGTCCAGGTGAATATAACGCTGCATAGTTGTACGCTTTCAATTTTTAAATACAGGAGAAATTCAGAAAAAGTCATTTTTTTACTATTAAAAGGCTGTTTTACCGTCTAACGCTGTAAAACGCCTCACAACACATTTTTATCATGTTTCTTAAACAGTATTACACAAAATAAACATTTTTCACATTTCTCTAGCTAATTTAAACACTCCCGACTCAAAGTAAAAGCCTCATGAGCTTCTTACTTAGAGCTTTTTAATAGTAAAAAAATTAGAATTTTTTCTGAATATCTCCTGTTGCGGGCTATTTTGTAGAACGTAACCCTCAAAATAAATGATCACTGTATATTGTTAATTAATTCAAATAATATAATATTGATTTAGTGTTGTAGTGTGTGTGCTGCTTTATTTTATATGTGTACTTATTTCAGTCTATTTGTGTTTCTTATGCAGGAAAAAAAACAAGCAACGATGGACAACTACATGGGGAACAAGACACTCACCCCCCAGCAATTCATACCACTTACAAACTCTATTCTAAACATGCTGGTAAAAGACATGAGGCCACTATCCATGGTGGAAGGAGCAGGCTTCCAGCTAATGCTAAAAAATTATTCTGGACTGATATTTTGCACTGTTTAGCTCATTTTATACTGCTGACTGTGTTCATGTGCAATAAAATAATTGCAGTCAACTGCACAATTCTCTTATGTTTTTTTTTCTTAACTGAAATGCATCCATCACTTGTATAGGTTAAATAGCTAAACAATAACAAACCGATTAATCGATTAATCGAAAAAATAATCGACAGATTAATCGATTATGAAAATAATCGTTAGTTGCAGCCCTACATAAATCCCAATGTTTGCATGGAAAGTTGCTTACGCAGTTTTCCGACCCCGTTTTGTGTGTAAGCAAGCTTGATAAATGAGGCCCCTTATCAGAGAAAAAACTGGAACAAAGAGCAGAAATTCAGCCATTTTCAAGCTTCTTGTGTGAAGAAGAAACTGTAGTTCCACAGGGTTATTCCTCCTTCAGAAACAAAAGGACATGAAGCTTCTGACTGAAGATTTTCCATCTGTGGATGTGAGATTTTACAAGGAATCAGGTCCAGTTGATCAGAAAGATGCATCAGAGTCTCTGCTATTAAAATGTGTGCAGCCAAACAACATTTTCATGGTGGAAACATCTGAGAGGATGTTGTTATCTCTAACAACATCAGGCATTTGATGAATGAGGCACCAGGTCTGAATCTGGAACATTAGATCCTGGTTTTGTGCTGAAACAGATGATTTCAGGTGTTTATAAAAGCTTGTCTGAAGCAGCTGGAAGCAGGTCAACATCCCAGCTTCTGTCTGACACACCTGGGGCTTCATTCATCAAAAGTTTGTAGAAATATACCTGAATTTGTTCCTATGAATGATCAAAATCCTGATTTATGAAACATGCGTTGGCCTCTCATGATGAATCCCACCTGTGCATACCCGGGTGCACCTGTCCGTTCTCAGGCATTTACATACAGGAACACCCTCAATTAACCATATTTGGTCACGCTACGTCCTCAGCTCGTGAGGGGATTCCTGCGTTGTACTCTGAAAAAAGAAAACTAGCTAGAACTGGGATGGATTTGTGTTATTTTTATGTTGCTCCACAATGGGTCCCAA